AAAAGTAATTGTTAATAATAGAAAATATTTAAGTTAATAACATTTTGTTAGATGAAGTTAATGAAAATATAATTTGACTAAATAAAAAAAGCTATCAATAAGGTCGATAGCGAGGGAAGCTACGCAGTTGGAGGGTGCATTTGGTATTCTACTGTAACATTTTTCTTTTTTGCATTTATTTTACCAAAGTACCAACAAAGACATATTTTATTAATTTAATTTTAATAAATATATAATCTATATATTTTATTATAATAATATTAAATAAATAAGATTATATATATATATATATATATATATATATATATATATATATATATATATATATATATATATATATATATATATTATACACGTTTATGTAAATACGTTATCGTGTTTTATGATTTTAATATGTATTTAAAATTTTATATTAATTCAATAAATAAAAATAAATTTTATATTTATGATTAATTAATATAATTTATTATATAACAAAATATTATAAATATTAAATATTATATTTAAATTAAAACTAATTGCTAAAATATACTATAAATGATAAATATATAAAACGATGGATTAAACCCGACAACTGAAATTTCATCCCTGAGAAATGAATACTATTCATATCTTCAAATATGAGGGAAGAAATTTGATAGGATATAAAACGATAGATTAAACCCGACAACTGAAATTTCATCCCTGAGAAATGAATACCATTCATATCTTCAAATATGAGGGAAGAAATTGGAAAAGAAAAAATAACATTTGAACATGGGTTGGATCCTAAAAGAAAATTTTTTAGATCAAAATTACTTAAGGGCAATATTTTAATATGAAAAATCTATTATGACCAAAGAGAAAGGTAATTTTAATATGAAAAATCTACTATGACCAAAGAGAAAATGGTAATTTCAAAAAAAATGCTTATTTTTGCATCCTGTATTAAGTGTTTTAAAAATTATAACTTTATCTGCTTTTAATAATTTTAGTTTCGAAAATAAAAACCCAAATGAAATTTATGTATAACTTGATCTGCTTTTAACAATTTTAGTTTCGAAAATAAAAACACAATTGAAATTTATGTCTTACACGATTACATGATTACACCAACTTTAGAAATTAATGGTTATATAATTTTATTAGTTAATCATTATTTCCGATACTATGTTTTGTAATTTTGCTATTCTGAATAGAGTGACGTTATTTTTACCCTAGATTTTATATTTCTACCCATCTAATAATTATTTTTTAGTAGATCCATTAATTTACTGACAACTTTTACTTTTTTTTTTCCAACCAATGCATGTTTTGATTTATGTTCTCAATAGGAGTGTTTGATTTTTTTAAGATTTCTGTCTTTTTAGTAAAATCAAAGTATTAGAATATGTATTTCCGTTAATCAAAAAAAAATCACTTTACAAACCACCAACTATTAACATTAATACAACAATAAACATATTATAATTACATTTTATATAAACTAATCAGTAAAAATAAAGTGATTATCATTAATAAAAAAAATAACAAATTTTTTATGTCCACCAAACACCACCTTCACAACCGCCGGTATATCACCACCACCACTAAAAACCACCTAAAATCGTATGAAACATCTGCTGGCCACCATTGACCTCCCTCAGATAGTGAGATATAGAGAGAAAATCGAAAGACAAAAAAAAAGGAGCAAGTCATTCAAAATCGTACCAAAGAAGGAGAACGAGCATTGCACACGAGGCCTGAACCTTGTCGGAAAACACTTGAAGCTCGCCGGAAGCGTGAAACATCGCCTGAAAAGTCGTCTGAAGCGTGAAACCTTGTCGGGATTGCTTGAACCACTGGTATCACCGACGGATTAAGAACGAGAGAAAGAGAAGTTTAAAAAAAAAAAAAAAAAAAAAAAAAAAAAAAAAAAAAACTCACCGGAAATCTCTTGAAGACAACGAGAATCTGCTCTCTCCCTTTGGACCATTGCATTTAAAGCCCACCTATTTTGAAGGTATTCTAAAATATACTCTTTAACCTTATAAAAGTATTAAAAAAATGTATAGGATGAATAGTTTTAATTAGTAGTACAACGACATATATTAGGTTACTTATGTATATGTTTTTTGATTTTAGAGTTAAGATAATAAGTGGACATAAATTTTAAAAAGTGGACATATTAAATTTTTGATTGATTACATAAATTTTAAAAAGTAGACATATTTAATTTTTGTTAATATAGTTTTTTTATTTTAATAATATGATTTTTTTATACAGAGATGTTTAAGTTATTTGGAATCAACATATTTGCTCGAGATGAAGATATTTCTATCAAGAATTCGCCATTTTCCACCAAACAGGTTATACACTTCTACCATATTATGAAGTTTTATATTTTTAAAATAAACTAAAACACTTAAAATTCAATTTTAGATGTTCAAGTCTCGTGAGGAATTGTTTGAGTGGACACAAAACAAAGCACGCTCTCTAGGATATGTCATTATCAACAAAAGATCAAAGGCATATGTCAACAACTTCGTATATCAAGTCATACTTATGTGTGATCGTGGGGGTGAATATAAAGCTACTAACACGGTTAGAGCATCTGGAACCAGAAAGACTAATTGTAAGTTTGAACTTGAAGGAAAGTATTCAAAAGAACATAATAAATGGACGTTGAGGGTAATATGTGATGATCATAATCATCCGCCTGCACAACATATGGAGGGTCATCCGTATGTAAGACGATTATCTGTTGACGAGACTCGTTTGGTGGAAGATCTAACAAGAAAGAACTTGGCGCCACGTGATATTTTGTCAACCTTAAAGGTGCAAAACGAAAATAATGTATCGGTAGCTCAAACAAAATATAACACACAACAAAAGATTCGCAAACGCGAGCAAGCAGGAAAAACTCCAATGCAGGTTCTTATGTCCATTTTGCACACCAATAATCATTTGTATGAGCTTACTACAGGTGATTCAAATGAGTTGGAGAATCTATTTTTCGTCCATCCAGCGTCTTGGAAGATATGGCATGCATTTCCACATGTGTTGATGATAGATGCCACTTACAAAACGAACAAATATAATAAGCCGCTTGTAGAGATTGTTGGTATGACCTCAAATCGGAAGACGTTCTCTGTAGGTTTTGTCTTTATACATAGAGAAAAGGAGGTCAACTATACTTGGGTGTTAAACTGTGTAAAGTCAATACTTGATAAGTGTATGCACCCACGTGTAATAATCACAGACAGAGAGTTGACACTCATCAATGCATGTCAAACAGTGTTTCCGGATGCGGCACGGTTACTTTGTAGATGACATATTGAGCAAAACATTTTAAACTTTTCTAGCAAGATTATCACATTGGATGAAGACCGTGACTCTTTTAGAATACTATGGAAATTACTAGTTGAGTCTCCAACATTGATGGCATACACAGAAAACTACAAACGACTACAATCAATGTTGATAAATAATTATCCACGCAAGTTTGTTTATTAACTATATTTCTAAATCATAACCTTCATATTATTGTTTATGTACTTATTTTGTTTATTTATTTTACTTCACAGGTGTTATGAGATACATAGATGATACATGGTTAAACAAGTACAAGGAAATGTTTGTGTTTGTTTGGGTTGATAAACATCTCAATTTTGGAAACAACACGACCAATAGAGCGGAGAGTCACCATTCCAAGTTAAAGAAAATTTTAAACTCTTCAAACTCTAATCTTGATAAATTCGTGCAACGGATTAATCAAGTCGTGCAATCACAACTTACTTCTATCTACAAAAGCTTTGAAAATAGCTTGACTGTTCACTACAATCACAACTTATCGTGTTTCCAATTGCTGCGGGGCCATGTTTCAAACGAAGCTTTAGACATAATATTAGGAGAGGTTCAAAGGTTAGGTGATTTAATGTTAGACTCCTCAAATTGTGGTTACAAACTACGTAATAGTTGTGGGTTACTTGATTGCCAACAAGTTTGGTGTGATCGTTCATTGTTTAAGCCACAGACAATCTACGACATGCTTCCCTCTTTGGAGAGGTCCCAGAGAGTTTCAACCCCATCGAGCCATTACGTTGGTACTTGTAAACGATATTCATTATATGTCGGTGTTTTTGAAAGGAAATTACCCAACGCTTCCTACCACAACATATTGGAATGCCCATAGAAGTTTGTCTGCATCTACATGACAAACTATGTATTGGCTGCGTTTTGATTTATACAATCAACTTAGGTCTCGTACTTCTGAAACACATTGGATACATATTAAAGACTAAATGCGAATGTATTTGAACCTTTTTATTATTTTTTGCATCAAATATTATTTTATATTTGAACTTTTTTATTATTTGTTGCGTTAAAATATTATTTTATTATTGTTGTGTCGTGTTTTAACTTTTAAAAAAAAAATTGAATAAATATATTTACATATATTTTATAAAAATAGTGTTTAATAAATGAAATAAATAATATTACATCGACGATAATATATTTTGTAGTAAGCTCATACAAATGAGTTGTATATATTATTATGTATATATTTTGTAAGCTTAATAAAAATGAGAGTGCTATAATTGAAATAAAAATAATATCTTAAAAAAACTATTAATAATAATTATGTAATCAAAATTTAATTAGTAATATTAGTAAAGAAAAGTAAAATAATAGTAAAAACAATTATTAAAAAAATATTAGAGGATAGAAATAAGTGATAAAAATTTTGAATATTAATGTTGGTTAATCTATGTATTTTAAAATTATTTTAATTAGAAGGTTAAAATAATAAAATATTCAAATACAAAATATCCTAATGGTTCATGCATTTGCATTTTAATAGTTCTTCTACCAAAAAGCAAATTTACACTGCTTCCATTATATTCCATTCCTGTTTTCATCCTCACTTAACTTTTATATACTGAATTCCCCAACACATGGTTTGAACCGTTGGTTTTTATGATATGTAGCTATCTGCTACAGTAAGAAAAATGCAAAGTACGTACATACACACAATAACATATTCGAGCATGAAACCACCATAGATAGGCTTGAATACATTCGTATAAATTAGCGTTACATATAAAGACATATATTAACACAAAAGCATCTGACAATACGTTACAGTTACTACAATACATTAAACATTTTTGATATATACTTGTTATAATATTTAAAAATTATAACTTACGAACACATAAACCAAAACGACACCAAATTTTCACACATCACAGATATGACATTATATAGTATATGTTTTTCGTTACAAAAAAAGTCAAAACTCAAGTTCTAATGCCGTTGGTGGCAGCATGGTGGTCGGAGGCGTTGATGTGTTTTTGAGCAACATGGAATTGCGAAGCATATCTGACCACAGGTGTTTCCGATGCAATAACAGGTGGTTCATTTAAAAACGCCCATCTACTATTCATCCACCTGCATGTATATATATGATCATACATATATTAATAACAATTTGTATTTAATTTAAAAAAGTGGATTATTCGGAATATAACAAAACCTGGAAATAAAGAATAAATTACCAGCCATGGCGCTTGAAAAGTTTTTCGTCATCTTCTTCTTCTTCTTCTGAAGTTGCTATAGCGGAATATTCTTTTGTGATCGGAAGGGAATTTGATCTACCATATATTTTTTCCAACTCATTTTTCTGTTAGAAAACAATATTAATTAGTTGATAAAGTATATTAAAAAGTGTTATAATATAATTAACATTTATCTCTCACCAATATCATCGTTCATTTATATATTCACCTTATAATTTTCCATCGAAAACGTCTGACAAGATGTAAGAACACCTGCATGTACTTGTTCGTCGTTTTTCTTTGATCTCCAATAATTTGCGATTTCTTCGTTGGTCATCGACACGTTCCTCTTTAGATTTACTGAAACAAATCAGAAGTGAGATTAAAGAAACATGCATAAATCATCATTATATATACGTACTAAAACAAGTCATTTAACATGTACGATTTTTGATGCATGAAATTCCACGATCGAGTTACTACTACAACAATAAAAGAAAAGAAAAAACTTACTGGATTTAGGGTCACGAACTCGTGAATCCCAACCTGCCATTAATGAACCCATTAATTAATTTCTTCTCTCAAAACTATTTCGAATTATATATTCTTGTGTTTTCACAAGTGATATTAAGTAGTGGTGGTGTAACTTTAATTATATGTATGCATATACATATATACTACGTGTTTTAAGGATATGGTTGAAATGTTGAAAACGATCATGACGGCGGATGTTAGTGGGTATGATATATATCTTTTTTTATATTCTGCTCTTATCTTCAGGAATACAAAATATTTAATAAAATTTATATATAGTGTAACTCGAATATATAATAATATCCGAATTATATCGATTATGTATTTAGAATAGTAACTTTCATGGCACAAAATATCTATTGCACTGATCCAACTTCATAACATGGTTTATTACAAGGGATCAGGTGGATGAGCGACTCAGTCAAGTGGTCACCTAAGCTTACAGAATATAATATAAATTACAATTGATTTTTAATGGTATATAAATATTTTATAATATCTTTTATGAAAAGATGATTATTGAATATTATATAGTTGAATACTACGTTTGATATTGATAGGCATCATCGAATTCTATGGGCTCAACCAGTTTCGCTCTGAAAGATAAACTGGATATTTCTAGATCCCTCTTTCTTAACTTTGTCAATTAATGTAAGAGTAATTTTTGTTTTATGCGTCTTTTATTTGAATATCCAATCTAATATGTTTAATATGTCTAGTTTCATCGATTTATTTTATGTAATAAAATTTATGTAGGTTTCAAAAAAATTATATCTTAGTTTTAATGCAAAATTGAATGTACAGAATGTATATTTGTATAAATCTAGATTGATACAACCAAAAGAGCAAAAGTCAAAGGGCTTCTAATGTAATTAACTAATTATGTATGATTTTCAACCATGCCTTGTCAAAAAAAATATGAATTGCACACTTGTAATAAAAGAATAGATAATATCTTAAAACATAATATATTTTTCGATTTGTATATATATTTGGTCATTCAATTTATATCTATCCCGTCAACTTTTTAAACTGTATACATTTAGTCCTTATGTCCGGCTACTCCAAAACTAGGCGGTAAAAATATCTTATATAATAGGGTAATATATTTTTCATTTTGAACACATTTAGTCCTTAATATTTTTGTACACATTTGGTTCTTAATATATATATATATATTTTGCAAAATAATTCATTTTTGTTTTTATATTCATTTAGTACTTATGAATGATTTCTTAAGGTTTTTCTTATGATATCTTACGTGGAACAATCACTAATAAGGTGTTTGGGGATTTTGATGCTTATGTTCATTCTGATCTCGACTGCATGGTTGTTTAGGTTTGGGGCTTTTGATGCTTATGTCCATTGTGATCTCGACTACTTGATTGTTTAGGTCATGTGTTCTGAACATCATAACTTGTTTATACGATCTCAAATTTTAACGATCTTTATATCCACACATTCGTATTTTAGTCTGCTACAACTTTCATTTAGATTACTCTCGTTAAAAAGTAATATATTTTTACTTACGATCTTTATATCCATATGTTTTTATGAATGCATGTGTGAATATTTTTTATTATAAAATCGTAAGTAAAAATATATTATATTTTAATGGGAGTATGTAATATTCGTAGATCCGGGCTAGTCAATTTAGAGATAATAGGGGTCGAAAATGACTTTTTAAAAAAAGATTATTTAGAATGAATAATCTTAACCAAGTTGTAGAATATGTCTGAATGGTTCCGACATATAAAGAACACCGAAATCCGAGTTATAACGAAGAAGTTATGGCCCGTCGAAGTTTTACGACAAAACCGAGACGACACCGGGAGACGTAAATAGTGAATTTTTGATAAGGGAATTTTTAGCCTTAGAAATCTAAACAAAAGTTGTAGTATACGTTAAACAGAGAACATACAAAAAAAAAAAAAATCCAAATCTGACTTCGTATGAGAAACTTATGATTTTGCTAAAATTTGGCATAGCAATGCAAGACCCAAAACTTGAATTTTAGTTCCAGCAGTTTTTGGCCTACGCGACCTAAATGACAGTTGAAGATCTCATTAATAGGAACTCAACGATAAAAAAGCAGACGAAAACGGAGTCCGTACGAAGGAGTTACGAATTTTTCATGGTCATTTAACAGTCTAATCTCCTCCTACTGTTAAATTTAAGATCGATCGAGAATTAGCAGATGGTGTCTAAATGAAAGTTGTAGATCTTGTTTTTACCTACGCGTGGAAAAAAAAATATCGAAAATGGAGCTCGTATGCGAAAGTTATGAATTTTTGAAAATCGACTGATTTCCACCCTGTGTGCAATGTCACGTGTCAGCACCAGGCTGTGCCTGGTTGTCTCCAGCGGGTCACGACGTGAATTTATGTTTCAAGACGTGAAATGGCCTCCAGCCCTCTATAAATAGAGGTGCCGAGTGAAACCAATTCCTCACACCATCCCATTCTACTTTCTCTCTCTAAAACTTCTCATTAGCTCCCCTTAAGCCCCCTAAAGCCTAGGTAAAACCCATAGCACCCGAAGGAAGCCCCGAGAAAAAGAGTCTTTCGGCACGGGAACGGTGCACCAGCGAAACCCGGTTTTCAAGAAAATCCGCTGTAAGTGAGTTACGCCTAACCTATCTTTAGTATAGCTTATGTTCTAATATAGTAATGTGTTGGGTTTTGAGCATTCTAACACTCCTATGGTGTACATGCAACTCTAAATAGCTTGGATCTATGTTTTCTCCAATATACATGCAAATACTAATATTCCAAGGTATTACCCTATCTAGCATACAATCATAGATACTTGGGTAATAATATAGATAAAATACATACCTCTTGTAGTGTAGCTTGACTCCATGGAGCTTGAGTGCCTAGTGCCTCAAATGTGACACCTCAAATGGCTCACACAACATCAAATGCTCTTGGAATAACTTAGAGAGAAATCCATACTTCATGAAATCGGCTAGCCCTTCTTTTACACACACCAATGGCCGATTTTGGTGAATAATATGATGCTTATATATTATGTTACAATTAGGGTTACACCATGTAAACCCTAATTGTCATGACCTTTCATTTCCATGACCCATGGGTTATGTAACCTCCATAGAGCATCCATGGAGAATCCTATGGGTTTAACCCAACTTGATTATCCATGGAGCTTTGTCCTACTATATAAATTATGGATGATTTACACAATCAACCCATATATTTAATTAGTCTTCTTTTGATCACATAATTAATTATAAATTAATTATTGATCAATACTAATTAAATATTATTATTCTTGTTATTAATATATTAGAACTTATAATATATTAATAACCATAAGTGTCTTATTTCTCTCATTTAGTCTATCCAAGTGCATGATGTCATGCAACCCAAATGGATCATGCGGGGTCAGGTCAAGTACATACCAAATATAGTTATGGACTTAGACATTAATCCAACATAATGTTATTAGGAACTTATAATAAGTACTTAGGCTATTATTATGGGTTATATAAGTATTGTTTAACGCTTATATAATAGTAATAATAACTATACTATTAATTAGTCTCGGTGAATATTAGACTAAACTCTAGTGGTAATGATACCGGGTTTTGTCCGAGGGAAATTGTTTTAACAATAACGAAGTGTTGTCCGAGTGCTGAGTCACCACCTTATCAGGTAAGTGCATAGTCCCTTTCATCTTACACATAGATATGAAGTATTTTATATAAACTACGTGCTATGAGTGCATATTATCTATATAATTGCTATGTATGCTGGATGAACGATTTTATACAAGTTTTGTATGATTTAAACTGTATATGTATTTATATCTACATAATATGTAGGATAAAACATGGGTAAATGAAATATGAGTTGGATGATGAGTTGAGAGGTGATATAGACCATGAGGGAATGGTGAGAGGTGGACGATATGAAAAGCCTAGTTCCCAAATGCTGGCCCCGTTATCTACCAGAGTATGGATGACAACCACGGACTATTCTAGACAGTCCAGTGGAACACTAGCAGACTCGCAACCTGTAGGTGTTGTGAACGATGTATTCACCGGTGTACACTAAAAAAAACCCATTGACATGTATTGCGAGTGGACTCTCGAAAACGATATTGTCAATAAACGAGATAACCCTAGCAGCTGTGCTGGAAAGACATTACTGACAGTTGCGCCTCGTATAGAATATCTCAATTATGGCAGTTGTGCCTAAGTGATAGAACTAGCAGCTGTTCTTGACAGTTGTGTCATTGACAACGATGGACTTCTTACCTATTCCTTAGGATAATCCTTAGGAATGAATGAATGAGAAATAGCCGATTCTTAGGGTAGATCCTTAAGAGTAAAGAAGATAATGGGGATGGGTAACTGGGTTAATTGTTTGATGATTAAACATAATAATTATATTATTGTGGGTTGAAAACTCTATGTACTCGCCAGGTTTCCTAACCTGACCCACTCAGTTTATTTATATCACAGGTGTTGATATGAAGTCACATTACACTGAGAGATTAATGAGATATAAATCACTAGTGATAATGAGTGTAAGTTCTGTTTATGCTTATGTTCTGTATTGATGATGACATCCAAATGTTTTAAAATGAATAAAAATACTTTTCTTCGGAAATGCTTTGATAACGTATTTATCATGTTTTAGTGGGAACAAATTCCACAACATTTTTATTAAAAGAGGTACTCTGATTTTTATAAAGCATAAACAAAATCGATCTTTTCTGACCGTGAAAATGGGGATGTCACAGAGTAATCTTAATGAAAATTGTAGTAGACTCAAAAAAACAAACACACGGATATAAAGATCGTTAAAATCTGATATCATATGAAGAATTTACTACGTTTAAAACACAAACCTAAGTCAAACCACAAGACCCAAGCAACCAAGCAATCGAAATCGCGATAGACATAAGCATTAACAGTTAACAGCCCCAAACACCTCATCAATGATTGTCCCACGTAAGATGTCATGAAAAAAACATAAAAAAAATTATTTATAAGTACCGAATGAATACAAAAAACAAAAATGACTTATTTTGAAACCAAAAAAATATATTAAGGATTAAATGTGTACAAAAATAATTAGGATTAAATATATACAAAATGAGAAATATATTACTCTATTAAGTCATTTTCCCGGCTAACTTGGAGTAACTGGTCATAAGGACTGAATATGTACATTTTAACAAGTTGAAAGGGTAAATATGAACGAAAAAAAAAAAACTCAGCGACCAAACGAATACAAATCGAAAAATATATTACCCTTTAAGTCATTATCCCGAAAAAAATACAAAATTACCAGATGGGTCTTAATAGAAATTATTGAATTTTCTAGAGTTATAATATAATTATATATGATTTTCAACCCTAAACCGCCTTGTCAAAATGCAAT